TTCCGATCTTAAGCTTAATGAAATCGTTAAGCATCTTACAGATAGACCGGGTGAGTGGAAAATCCACGATGAGCGAAAAATCAACTTCCTGGCTTTTACTTTGAATGTCTATTCTAAGCTTTGGCATCGCTTTATCTCTGCCAAACTCCATCCTTCATATCAGTGGAAAATCCACGATGAGCGAAAAATCAACTTCCTGGCTTCTACTTTGAATGTCTATATATATCAGTGTGTGTGGGCGTGCGTGCGCGTAACTGGTGGTCTGTTAGTTGGCAGCTTCGTCGTAAGTCCCATCAATCCCGGGTTTAAATTCATCTGGGTCGAATTAGCACCTATTGGGTCGACAAACACGTATTAACGTCACTCATATTAGGGAGTTTATCCAGGGGTGTTGGAAGTCGGTTATGGGGGTTGGAAGGCTTGTAAGGGCAATAGTAACAACAAGGGGGTTTTGGGGCCACAATTGAGGAGTGGCAGCAAGTGCGGAGCAACTGGACAGCAGGTAGGCGGGTCAAAACAACATCAGTTTGTTGTCTGGGGAACAACAAAGTGGAACGCAGGTTCTGGAAGTTAATGTCAAGGTGGACGACTGGTTTTGGAAGGTGGGAACAGCAGCGAGGCTGTGGGGAGGCTGGAGCAGCAGCTAGCTGATAGGGAGACTTTTTTGGCAACTAAAACAGAAGCAAGGCGACAAGGGAGATGGTTGGCGGCTCAGGATATAGCAAAGGAAGATGTTTTATGGGCGGCTGCAGTAGGGACGGTAACGACAGCAGCAAAGTTAGGGATGTGAAGGAGAGATAAATGAGGATAATCACAACCGCAAGAGTGGGATACAGCCGGGTACCACTCGAACCTTGGATACAATTCTAGAAGGAAAAACCTAAGACGCCTGTGGTTGTACTGACCAAACACAAAAAAAACTAAGAACACAAACCCTAAAACAACACAACTATAGGAAATGATTAGAAATGAAAGAAAATGAAAAGAGGAAAATTGCTAAAATGAAAAGAAATAATAATTAAAAAAAGAAAATGGTTGTTGCTTCTCCCGCCCATGCGGGATTCGAATGTCGTGCTACTCGCGGACATGAGATTGCGGGATCCCGCTCCTGCATCACTCTCCAAAGATTTGAGGAGCTTCAACCTCATTTGTCAAGACTTATATCTCCTTGTAGTATGACGTCAGGTTTGCAATGTTCAATGTGGCAGAAATATTGCAATCTCCCGATAAATCAATCTTGTAAGTATTGTCATTCCAAAACACATCTTGATAGAATAAATATTCATCATCTTTTGTCACGACCTGAACTGGAGCTACAAATAGACGTAAATTCTCACAACGTAATTCTCGAGCCACTAAATTTGTAATTCACTCATTCCATTCCTTGGACTAAGTTAGGTGCAGTCGATAAACAAATTCATCTAGAAGAACTAACTCTGAAAAAAAATATATGGGATATTGGATCACTTTCAATGGCTACCATCCAATAGGTATATTGTCGATCATGAAGTCTAGCAATTCCTTATCAGCTCCACAATCTCGCCATCTTTTAGAACAACCAAGGCTAATCTAGCTGGAATCTCTCTCACGGGCTTAGTTGGAATCACTAGTGTCTCTTCCTGATCGGTTTGAAGTTTAGACTCATCTCTAATGTGTTCGTCCTCCATTATATCACTGTCTATTTCTTCAACTGCTACCTGTTTAGTGAAATAGATCATACTCTTGTGATACCAGAGTTAACCCAAACAATACCAAAACATTAATATTATTGCGGAAACTAAAATAGACAAATTATAAACAACCAACTTAAATAAGAAATAACAAGGCACACAACATGAATCCCAACTAGGGTCAGGGGTTGAGTGGTCGAGGAGAGGGACTAGAGAGGCTCGGGGAGGGGTGGCAGGATGTTAGCAAGTAATTATGGAGGATGGTTGGGAAGGAGTTTGTTTGCAAGGGGGAAGTGAATGTTGGTGATCGGTCAATGGCTGGATAGCAGCCTGTTGGTTGTGAGGGAGATAAGAAAAGTACGCAACAACTGGTTAGCGACTCTGAGGAAGGGGCAATAGCAGGCTGACGACTAGATGATGGAGATAAACAACAGAGTGGAGGTTGGATGGAGGAATCAGGGAGCGAGTTGGGGATAGATAGACACCACATCGGGAAAAGTTACAGTCAAAGCACATCTTCACCTTCGGATATTAGCCCTAGAATGGGAAAATTGGATGTCGACAACAGTTTTAACAGAAACTGAAATCAAAATTCCCTAACACAATCAGAAAAAAAACATATAAATAGACGTAGGGTAAAGAGTAATAGGCCCCGCTACAGATAGGAGTGAACCCCATGCTTGAAAAGAACGGTCGATCCCTCCCTTGCTTGGATGGTGAAGATAGACAAAAGGGTGGAGGTCGATGCGTGCTTCCTATCGCTTCCAGGACGAACAACACCCCACGTCAGTCTCCCGAGGTTGGAGAAGCTTCAACCTCGTCTGTCGAAGCTTCAATGCCCTTGCAATATGGAGTCAAGTCTGCCAAGTTGAAGTAGCAAAGATGTTGTAAATCTCAGAAAAGTCTATCTTATAAGCGTGTCATCAGTTTTTTGAGAATTTGATAATATCCAACTACTCTAGGTCTGAGCTTTCCAAATTATATCCCATGGAAAATCCCTCTTTCTTCAACTTTATCCACACTAGATCTCCTTCCTTAAATGTTTCCTTCTTCCTTCTTTTATTATCTTGCAGTTGGTACTTATGGTTATGCTTGGAGATCTCTTTTCCCACCTCCCCGTGCATCCTCTGAATCTCATGTACCCTCCCCATAGCATCCCAAAGAACTGGTACTAATTCACGCGGAGTGAGCGGATTGCAGACAAAACACAATCTTAAAAAGTGTCCTTTAATCTGGCGCATGGGCCTGTTGTAGCCAAATTAGGCCTAGGCTAGGAGCAAATCCCACTGCTTCATGTTCTTTCCTATGAAGCACCTCAGAAGATTTCCTAGACTCCTGTTCATCACTTTCGTCTAACTGTTTGTCTGTTGATGAGCTGCTAAGCTGAATTGTAGTTTAATACCAAGCTTTCTCATCGGGTTCTCTAGAAGTGACTTAAGAACTTGACATTTCTCTCATATGTAATGGACATGGGCATCCCATGTAGCCTCACAATATCCCTGAATTATAGGTGTGCGACATGTGATGCATCCAATGTCCGGTAACAACGTACGAAACTATCCTGCTTTGAAGACCTGCCAATCACTGAAAAATCTGTCAACCTCGACTATCACTAAATCCTTGTTCCGTTGTGTCCTTGAGAGACCAATTATGCAATCCATGTTAACATCCAACTAAGGGGGCTCAGGTACTTGTAATGGTTTGTAAAACCCTACAGTTTGCCCTTTGGTTTTGGCCAAGTGACAAACTCTACACTGTCGGGTGCATTTCTCCACATCTCTCATAAGTCGGGGCTAAAAAACTATTTTTTGACTAGTATGAGGGACTTGTCTCTGCCAATATGACCTGCTAGTCCACTGTTGTGACTCTCCTAGATGATAGCTACCCTCAATGAACATCTGAGCACACACAACTTGCTATGGTGGAGCGGATTACCATCACTTCTGTGGTATGGCCCTATGGAATTCTGCCAACAATGTTCCCAAATTTCCTTGAAATCCTCATCTTCCATGTAGAACTCCTTCGCGACCTCAAATCTCACCACCCTAGGTTGTAATAAGTTAATCAAAGAATGGCGGCGGCTTAAAGCGTTGGTTACTCGATTTTGACTTCTAGCCTTATGTTTGAGCACGAACTGGAATAACGTCAGGAATTCAACCCACGAAACATGTCTATCCTGTAGCTTGCTTTGAATGTTTAAGAATCTCAGTACCTTGTG